CCAATTTGAATGGGTAGTTATTTTTTTATATATTTATTTTTCGTTTTTTTTATATTTAATTATAAGATATCTATATTTATTAATGCAAATAAAGTAACCAATTAATATATATATATATATATATATATATGGTAGTTTTTTATTTTATTTTATTATTTTCAATTTTTATATATATATTTAAATTTAAAAATAATAACCAATAACTAATTATGCCATGTGTCATTTTTTTAGGTTGCCACTTGGCTTAAGGAGAGATTCAATTTTTATATATATATTTAAATTTAAAAATAATAATCAATAACTAATTATAAACTAAATAACTAATTATGCCATGTGTCATTTTTTTAGGTTGCCACTTGACTTAAGGAAAGTACTTTTTCCTCTCCTTTTAATAATAGATAGATATAGATTTTTCAGTACGTCGTTATTTTCGGTTAAGTATTTTGTTTGAGTTTTATTTTTGCGTCTCACTTCCACGTGTTAATGGGGGCAAAATAGGAACTAAATAACACACATGACACACCAAAAGTTATTTCTTTTTGTTATTATATATGCTTTGCAGCCTTCATAAATTTTCTGTTTTTTCTTCTCCTTGTATATGCCGAGCAGATTAAGGGACTCTACCAGAAATTGGAGACTGTAATGTCCCGTGTCAATTCGCATACAAATTTCAGTTTAAGGGTTGAGACTAGGGTTTTTTTTTCAGAACAATTTGACTGAAACTATTATTGTTGTTTCAGGTAGTTGAAGGACTTTAGGGTTTTTTTTGAGGTAACTTCTTTTTTTCCTCAGTCATTCCTTAAGTTGTATGCATTTTTCTTCAAGTGAATATTCAGTTAAATTATGACATATTTTGCTTTTGGTTTTTGTTTCAATTTGTCTCTTCAGTAGTTACATGCAGAAGTTGGTTTTTGGGTAATGTGTGAATTAGATGAAATGTCGGTAATTATTTTTATATTTTCAGCATTGCGACCATAGAGTTTCACATCCTGATCTGGAGTTTAAATGTTACTACTTTCTACTGTTGTTGATTTTTGTTATATTCCTTCAGAATATACATGCAGACATTAAACCCTTGTGCTTAAACGAAGATAGTGAAATTGTAGCACTTTTCTTTTCTAATATTAACCAAAAACCATGTTGGTGATTTCTTCCCACATGCGTAAGCCTTAGTAAGCAGAGTTACCGGTAGAATAGTAGGCGCGTGCAAGCTTGCCTAAACACAACCTCTAAAATTTAAAAAATAGATTGCCCACCCCCCCCCCCCCCCCCTAAAAAAAAAAAAAATAAAGAAAAGAAAAAAGACCAAATTTCACGCGTCTTTATAGGTCACACTGTATTGAATTATGGATGTTTAGGCATTTGTGCTTAATGCTAATTTTTGTCGAAAAAGTATTTGGATGCAGGAAGTAAGTAATTTGTCATTGTTTTGAAGAATAGGGCATGTAGGTGAACAAGGGGCAGACCTATTGCATTAGTTTTGAGTTTGGTAGAACCCAGTGGCTTTGGCCCAGACCTCTATTTGTATTAACAAATCCACTTAGTATGCATAAATAAGCTATCTCAAACCAGTTGCTTTCTTGTCTTAGAATCTAGAACTCATAAGCATAAAATCTTAGATCCGCCTCTAAGGTGAACTGGGGGTGGATGGGAAAGCTTGGTTAACTGGTGCAACTGAATGAAATGCTTCACAGGATAACTGTTTCGGTGACTGTTAAATATGACATATTTATGTAGACTTTTGTTATTTTGTATAGCTTATTAAAGGATGGTGATTGATATCACACTCTTCGTTTTTTTAATCTTTATTAATATTTAATAGTTGTCATCAGTAGATCATTAGTTTTCCATGTTGTTTATAGTGTGGATACTGTGTACTTATAAGGATAGTCTGAAATAATTTATGGTTTATTGTTCACAGCTGAACGGATGGCTAGTGAGACTCGGTCTGGGAGGAAAAATAAGCATACTGAGAGCAATAAATCAAAGAACAAACAATCGGATAAAGGATCAATAAGTTCTGGCTCCGGAAAGACAGATAGCTTAAGAAAGTCGGTTCGAGAAACCAAGCAAGCAGCTTCAAGCCCATCGCGTACAAGGAAATCCGAGCGTCTTGAAAAGCAGTCACCATCCACGCCAGCTGTTAAGAAGAAATCTGGAGTAATTGAGAAACAGAATACTCCGAGCCCTTTAAGAAGGTCTGACAGGGGCAAGAAAAATACCCCATCTAGTTTGTCAAGATCAAGTTATGTAGGAAGAGGACCCGATTCATCTAGTGTCGGGAAGAAGGAACAAAAAGAGAAAAGTGTGAAGGAGCTGATAATGGAATCTGAAAGTGTTAGCACTAGGAGGGAAAATGGTGCAACTTCTGTAGGCTTGAAAAGGAAGTTAATGGATGCCCGGAGTTATAAGGCATTATTCAAAATGCAAAGAAAGAGATCTACTGCAGCAGGTAGACTAATCTCTCTGTTGTAGTTTTCATCCTCCTATAACAAGCACTATTGTTTCGTGTCAATGTTTTCCATGTTTCTCCTTCTTGTAATAACAGAACGCATCATGGAGTACACTCTCTCCTGGAATGCTAGGAAGCGTAAAAAGACTTACTGAATTGACTATAGCTTTATCATGGCAAAAACTAACTAATTATCTCCACCACCATGTATCAGCATAATTCAAAGTCAGTTATTGTGCCATGTCATTAGTGTGTGTTTAATAGACACATCTTCCACTAGCAATAGGTTTTCAACAGGTCACACCCTTAGATAAGGTGTCTAAATGAAAAATGTGGATAACTTCGAGGCATATATGTACTCAGCCTTTACAATTACGATGCTAAGAGTGAAGGTTTAAAGATAACTGAATTGGTAGTCTTACCTTGGTGTTTTGGAATTGCTGAAATTTCTATACTGATGTAGATGTTTGTTTCGGCTGACTAGAAATTATTGACAAGTTGGAAAGACCAAAGAAGTCATCAAGAGTTGATAGCATTGCCAGTGATGAGACTGACTCCAAGTTAATCAATGGGGATAATGAATCTCATGAAAGAGTTGTAGAAGAGTTTAAAGAACATCCTGATGGGGTTGCTTCTTCAAGGTCCATTTCTAGCTTAGAAGCGTCTTATGCAGATGCTTCGGTTAATGATGTTGAGATATTGCCAGATTCAAACCGCAGATGCTGCTCTAAGGGAAAATCTGCTGCTCTTCCTGCAGAAAATGGTTTGGAAGTATCTAAAAATGGTTGCACTGTGGGAGAAATTTCTGGTGATTCCGAAAGGGTACCAGAGGGTTGCTCTGTGACTGAGGATAATTTGCATATCCCTGACTTGTCATGTTCCACTTCTACAGGTGGTGATATTATTCTGAAAAGTGGTGAACTAGGCATTGGTAAATGTTCTGAAACGCATAAAAATGCATGTGACTTGGCTGAAGTTTCTCCTCCACCACTAGCTGACCATGAAAAGCTTGGTTATGGTGGGACTTGTGCTTCATGCTCTAGACGGATAAGGTGATTTTTCCACTCTTTCTATTTACATTTTGTTTCTACCAATACTGCATTGCTTTACTAACTTGACTTTAGCCTGGTGAATCATCACATTTAAAACTTAGAAGCACAGTGTCCTTTCAGATATTTTAGGTGTAACTTAGAAGCACAGTGTCCTTTCAGATATTTTAGGTGTCACATATGCTTAAGACTCAAACTTATTACATACCGATTGATGTTGCACATCACTTATAAAATATTCTGGAGATATCCAAAATTTCTCTCTTCTTAGTCTTTTTGTAGGTAATGTAAGAATATTATTAATGTAAACCAGCATTAGGAGAAGAATACATCCAAAAAGTAACGTCACAATATGTGTTAAGAACTGAGGAAGTCAACCAAGACGTCCAGCTCTAACACATTTACTGTGGCCCCGTTGCATTGAAAACTAAGCAAAAATATACACCATATACTTCAAAAACTCTAGCATTTCTTTTTCTTCATATGGTCCCACCAAATCACAGCAGGGACTCTGATCCTGATGCCTCTAGAGGATTTCACAATATCCATTATATGCCAATAGAGAGGGAAGCCACAATATCTCTTGAATGTGTGCAGATCCTGCAAGTGTATCTTGACCTTAGTTGTGTGGAAATGCTTCCAAGTATTTTCTCGATACTGAAATCAATTGGTGTGAGGATGTTTAAGGAAGAAAAAAATAGTTTCTCTTTGTGTGTCTCTCAGGGATATTGTGTTTGATCATCCAGACTGCTAGTTCCTTTTCTTAGGCATCAGTTTAGAAACGATATAAAGCAGTATGCTTCCTAAGACCAAGTTGAAGTAACCCCATTGACCCTATTTGCCTTTTTGCGATAAAACAAAAAGTTATTGGCAAAACTGTGGCACTGTGCCCTATACAACAAGAACAACATCAACGATGGCTCAACGCTATAGCTTTTGGCTCAAAATCAAGTGCTTATGGCTTTTGGATTTTTGGTGTAATTTACAATATGTTAAAAATGAAGATAGTATGTTAGAGTTCATAGATTTACTACAGGCATAGGAGCATATTCTGGTGGAAACCTTTTGTTTGTTTTTGTACAGAAGGGTTTCAAACTTTGTAATTAACCTGGCACTAGCTTAGTGCAATGCTTCTAATGTTGTGCTATAATACATCATTTACCTGTTCAAAAAAATAAAGTAAAATTGCTCAGAGAATGAGTACAATAAAAGTAAAGTAAGCCTCATGCAGAATTTCTAGCACCTTACTGCGTATGGTGGCAAAATGGTTAAAAGAAAACAGTTAACCACCCATATTATCCACTAAAAAATGGGTTGGATAATGAATTTTTAAAAACGGGTCAAATATGGATAAGAACTATATAGAAAATGAATAACCAATGGGTAACCAGGGGATAACCAATGGGTCTAACTTTTACATATGTAAAGCCTCAAATTTGGGGTTCCTCAAGTTAGGGAGACAACAAGAAGTAGTCATGTGTGTAATATGGTTACCTATTTTATCCGCCGGTTAACGTTAACCCGTTTTTTATTCGTATTAAATATGGGTCGGGTCGGATAATTTATCCATTTTTTCATTACCCGTTTTTGACCTGAACCATATCAGACCCGCCCCGCCCCGCCCGTTTGTCACTCCTACTTACTGCTCAAAGAGCTTACAAAGTGGAGAAGCAAAAGGTAATTGCTTACATAAAAATGGATGACTAAGAGAATAAACAGACATCTAAATTTTAAAAAATGTGTAGGAGTTGCTGTTCCTTCAAAACATCTCTGATGCCCTTCCTTCCAAATGTCCTTCCTTCTAAATGCTCCAAATGATGCATTGATGATCATCTTCCATATGTTTTTTGATGGACTTCCCAACTCTAACACTGCTACAGATGACATGTTTCCTTCAAGGTCTTCGGAATAAACCCAGCTTATATAAAAAGATTACAAAACTTGTCCAATATATCTTTAGTCATTGTACAGTGCAGAAACAAATGGTCTGTACTCTGTATCCTCACTATCTTTTGTATAGACGTAGCATCTATTGCACAAAGTTATTCCTCTACTCCTTCAATTTTCCTGTGTTAGGAATGCAGAGTGCTCCTAACACTGCCACCGAGCTAAAGCAAGCAATCTTAGTGGGGGTTTTAGTTCTCCAGATTAATTTTTGGCCATTTCTCAATAATGTTGCTGCTGTTTACTAATTCCTCATAACATTCCTTAGAACATACCATTGCCCTTGTCTCCCCAAAATAGTCTTTCTGTTGCTGTTGGGTCTGTTTCTGGATAAACAATCTAGCACGTTTTTTACTTCTCGGTCGTGTCAATGCCTCCTGAAATTGATGTTCCATGTCCAATGTCCCATTTACCCTAAGCTGTTTCACTGTGGCTTCAGTATCATTAGCTAAACCAAATAAATCTGGAAACTCATCTTTGAGAGGTACGTTGCCTAGCCGTTTATCCCTCCAGAATAGGGTGTTCTCACCATCACCAACCTGTAACCTCACCCTTGACTGCTGCCACAACTTGCTAATGTGTTTCAAAGGCCCACACCATGAGAGTTTGTCGTCACTTTTGTGTGCCATGCTAGTTGAGGTTGGTCATGTGGATCCTTTATTTCTACTGCACTCCATTTGTACTACTTCTATTCCAATATGCAATAATTCGTCTTTGATAACAAATTAGGGGTTCTTAAACCAACTACTTTCTATATCTCACACTTGTCACTATACTGACATACAATCTCTAATCAAATGAACAAACAAAAAGGACTCCGGACAAACACTAAACCTAACATAAGTGTACCAACAACATACCAACAACCATTAAACCTTAATACCAATTAGTTATTTCGCCTATTTTACACTAAGTTCTTGTGAATTCCTAGAGATTATAGGTCTTTTGAGACATTCTCTCAACATGATTTTATCTTTTAAAGCATTCAATCATTACCGTACCACACCTATGGGCCTTTGCAATTGACAAAAGCATTCGGGCGACAATATTTTATTTTATCCTTTGTGTTCCATTTGGGCCGTATGTCATATGTTATCATTTCTGGTAAAGACTTAATTATGTAAATAAAAACTTTGTTCTCCTCTAACAACTTACAGGGCAAGAAGAGGTCCTGAGTGCGAGCACATCGCCACCCCATTGTTAAAAAGAATATCACGTGCTTGGCCATGAAAAAGAAACAGGCTGCATGTGGGGTGTGTTTTAAAGACATAATTAAGTAAATAATGGTGTGTTCTCTCTAACACCTTAAGCTTTTAGATGAGATGGTCACACACTTCAACAATTTCTAATCTTGTCATATTTTGGATAACAACACATCCTTCTTAACATCGTACTTTCCACCACACACTTGTGGATATGTTGGGTGGTAGAGGTCCAATATTCACTTGCATAACACTTTGTGCACTTTCATTTCAGTCATCCTATTCTTGTTCTCTGTGTTACATCTTCGTGTATCATGCATCTTAGCTTAGATATTTGAAATTTAAGCATCGAGCAACTGTAATTTATCTAATGTTTGCCTCAACTTCAAGTTGATGAGGTTTGTTAACCTTCTTTAGAGTTCAGTCTTATCAGACTGTATACCTCCCTGCAAGGGAATTTGCTCCTTTTTTTTTGCATCATTGGTCTTGGATTTCTACGTTCTTCTAAATCATCCTTTGATCTTTTATTCATCATAATGCTAGATGTATTATTACTTTTGGGCCTGTTTTATTACTTTTGGGCCTTGGATAGTTTATCAGGTTAACAGTCCGTACTTCCATCTGCCAGAGACAAAAGTATGGTTTAAAGTTTTCTATTATTTTCTTCTGCAGTTATTTACTATTTCTCATTCATAACTTGCAGGGTAAATCATGACTCACCAGAAGAGGAGCTGTGCTCATGTGCTGGAATGTCAGGCAGGGATTACTATAACCTATCTAGGCTCAAGGTTCGTGCTGTAAGACGTGGAGAAGTAGAAGCAGCTTATATTCATAGTAGACGTAGTGGTCGTAAAGACCCCAATCGACTATCTAAAATTACTATAGGATCCATATACAGTATATGCAACAGTTTTTTCTGTAACTGCAAAAGAAAGCTAATGGCTATAAGATTTGGAGATTATTGGTCATAAAAGAAATTTGAAGCCTATAAGACCTACTGGACATGTAACCTAGGCTATACAACATATGACAAAAACATAGAAGCAGCTGAATACAACACATTTTGTACTGTAGCAATTTGAGAAACTTTTTCGGTTGTCAAAAAGCTGGGAAGAATAAAATGGTCAACTAGCTGTCAGTTACTGCTATTATTCGTTTCTTCTTTGTAGTATGAGCATCATCATGTCTTTACCACTTTGTCCTAACAGGTAATGAGACATGTTTTTTTTAATAGGATTTTTTTTTTGAATTAGGAAACAATGAGACATGTTATATCAGTTCTCCTCGTTTATTGTCACTGTTTATGCTCCACTTCACTGTTTATTCTTTAATCACATGTCAGAAAGGGATTTTCTGTTATGTGGTTAGCAGCTGCGCATATCCTTTTTGCCAAGCATCTCAGAGTTATTTTATTGTAATTAATTTGCTACTCAATATTTAATAATTTTCTTGTGCTCAAATGCGTTCCGTTTTAGGATGGAGTTGGTTCTGAAGCTGCAATTCCTTTGGATTCTGGAGAAGGATGCAATATGCAATTAAATCAGGCACTTTCAGTTTCTCAAAGGGGTGCTGATGAAAAAATGTGCACCGTATGCAAGCAAGGTGGAGAGATACTGTGGGTACCATTTGCAACTATGCACAATTAATATGTTGGCCAATAAAGATTTTTCAAACCATAACTGAGAAAAAAATCGGCTCTATCTAAAAAGCATTTGTTTTTGACCTTTTTTCTGTTTTTATTTTGTTCCCTAGACTTTTTCTAGTTACTGGATTGTGGATGCACCCAATAATGATTTTTCCATTTGGGTAATGCATTAATAATTGTCAAGTAGTACTAAAGCCCAACGTAGAATGGCCATGTGTATGTCTTGATATTTATCATTTGTACTTGACATACTTTTTAGGATCTGTGATGGAAGAGGTTGCAAGAGATGCTACCACCTCTCTTGCCTAGATCCTCCATTAGATGATTTCCCACCAGGAGCTTGGCATTGTTCCTGGTGTGTCAAGAAAAAGATTGAATCTGGTGTACATTCAGTGACGGAAGGAGTAGAATCAATCCAGGATGTCAGAGAAGTGGAAGTAGCAGGTACCAAAGGTTTGATGGACAAGTATTTACATGCAGTAGACATTTGTACGGGAGCTGGATGACTATGTGATATGAATAGTTTTTAACAATTTGTCATATCTCTTAATGTTGCTTTGCTCCTGTTAATTCTCGTTCTTGATTATTTTGTTTTTTCTTCTTTGCTTTTATGTTAGGAATGCATAGGCAGAAGCAGTATCTTGTTAAATACCAGGGTCTTGCTCATGCACACAATCATTGGGTTGCAGAGACACAATTGCTTATGGATGCACCATTGCTTATTGCAAACTATAATCATAAGAATCAGGTCAGAATTATTTCTTTGAAGATTTCATTTGTTTTTTTTTCTTCTCTTCATATTTTCTGCCAACTTAAGTAAATGGATCATTATTTGCCAAACACATGCAAAGAATGATATCCATCTATCATAACAAATACTTTTTATAGTTTTCACGAGTACGACTTTTTCCATCATTTTAGGATGTGAGGTGGAACTCAGAGTGGACAGTGCCACATCGTCTCTTGAAGAAACGATCATTGATGTTCTCCAAGCTGCATTGTCAAGATGCACGTGATAATAGCAAATGCCTGTTTGAGTGGCTTGTGAAATGGCAGGGCCTTGATTATGAGTATGCTACATGGGAATTAGGGAATGCTAATTTACTGAACTCACGGCATGGTGAAAGCCTTATCAAGGATTTCAATATTCGCCGCGAAAAGGCAAAACGAAGAATTGACAAGGTTTTTATGATTTTTGTGATAGTGCTAAAATTATTCTATGATTTCACTTCTTTAGTCTGCTAATTGATAAGTATCTATGCCCTGTACTAGTTGGTGTTGTAACTTATAATCCCAACATTTTGCTCTACTGTTTATGCAACCTCAGTTTCCTGCTGCCTGTCGGCATAAAGGGTATAGGACATCTCTTAACTAAACATAAGAGGTTGGCCGTTTTTTGAGGATATGAGTGATCAGCCCAGAAGAAACTTGCTGTGTGTTTGTGTGCCTGAAGTCATATATTGGTAGTACTGGTCATCTTTGTAATATTAATTGTATGTCTTCTGCTGCTGCTGCAGAATCATAAGGGGCCACTTGTCAAACTATCAGAACTTTCTGCTGGAGGTTCACATATAACAGATTCTAATCTGCTGAACAATGTTAACAAGCTGCGGGAGTGTTGGTTGAAGTGCCAGAACACTGCTGTCTTTGATGACCAGGTGAGTTCATTCTACAGGGAATGCTCTTCTAGGTGGGTAATGAGATATTGCTAAACGTACTATATAATGTGAATAAATAATGGATCACTATAATATATACATGTCAAAGCAGTAGAAAAGGATTTGAATGTCGAGTTTGATCGATTGTTTTGAAGTTGTCATTTGATGCTTTCTTCACCTTATCTAGGACCTTATTTCTTATGTACTTAATTTCATTTTAAAATCTTCCTCTTCATTTATCCACTCTTGTGGTGGCTTGTTTTTTCTTGTTGGCTTTTGACGAACTGTTTGGAACTTCGTTAGCATCCATTTCTAAAGGATACTTCATGGGGTGAATCCTTTCTTTTGTGATTGCTAAAACTAGGAGATGAGCCACCGGTTATCCTTCATTGATATTCGTGCATAACTATTTACTTACCTAGTTCACATCCAGAGAGTTCGACTCTTTTTGGTCCAACTGATGATGCAGCATTTCGTCTGTCTTCGAACGGTTGTACTTGGAAATTTCACGTTGAGCTATGTAACTTACTTAAAAACTAATAAACCTCAGAATGGTTGTTACACTGATTTCTGTCGCTCATAGAATTTACTAGAAAAACTGCTTCCTGAAGGATTACTATGTTGTGGAAGGCTGTAGCTGAAGCTAACTGAAAGTGAATATGTTAGCCTTGTAAAAGAGGTGAGAGACAATTGCTCACCTAAGCAAAACTCACAAAGCTTGAGCCATAGGCAATTTGGCAGAGCAGTCTCTTTCTCCAAAAGGAGTATTTACTGCAAAACAGGAGGTCCTTGTGATCTGTGTTATCAAAGCTGACGAGTGAAGAAAAAGCCATGACATCTGTCTATGTGCATATCACAAAAGAATAAAAAATAAAAAATATATATGTAATATAAGAATAATAACTATAAACCCAAACTACAATTATTAGGACTAAAGAAGTGAAAATATCATTATTAAGTGAAATAGTTGTTTGATTATTAATGCACTTTACAAGAACCATAGGTGATAAGACTCGAGCCTTAGCGCCTAAACAAATAAGCTGTTTAGTCGAGGTAAATCGCTCAACGTGTTATGCACCTAGATCTGGAACTTGATTACGCCTTGACCGAGCCTTTGACGACATTACGGAAGTTCTCTTCCTCGGCTTAAGAATTCTTCACTAAGTTGAAGTCCTCTCCAACAATTCATTTTGCTTAAGACTTCTATATCAAAGTGAATTGACAATATTTAATCTCCCCGTTTAAGACTTCTGCTTCCTTGAATCCTTTACCTTCGGTTAAACACGAGAAAACTAGAGCTAGCCCATTCTTCCCTATTTTTGGATGAGTTGCTAGCCATTCTCCTCTTTCTCCGCTGCTTCTAATGTTCCTCTTTTGATTATTCGTCCTACCATCAACATCAAAATCAAATAGCAGTAAGATTATGTTTGTAAACCTATAATTTTAGTCGGACTTCACATATCAATTCTCTATAGTTGTGAATCTAAATTCTTTCTCATAGTACTACTAACTTGCATTTTTTACCATTAGTTCTTTAATTTAAGACAATAACCTGAAATGTGATCATCTATGGGTGCACAAGAAAGGTTTGACTAATATGACAATTGTTTCTGCAGGATCGTATAATGAAGATGGTTTTATTTGTTCTATCTATGTCAGATGTCTGCTGTCCTTTCCTTGTTGTCACACGTTCAAGTTTGCTTTCCCAGTGGGAAGCTGAATTTAGACGATGGGCACCAAGTATTGATGTTGTAGTGTACACTGGAAACAGAGATTCTAGAAGGAGAATCAAGTCATTGGAGTTCTATGACGAAGGGGGTTTCATGATGCTTCAAGTGCTTTTATCATCTCTGGAAGCCGTCATTGAGGTTTGTCTAAAAATAGATTATTTTAGAATTAATTTAGATATCAGGACTTCGACAGATAATCAATTAAGTAACCTGCGATGATGTTTTCATCAGGAATATCGAACGTTCCGCTAAAGATGTATCATTTTGGTGAAATGTTCTCTGTTTTACTTTTCAATCATATCATATTTAGTTGATTGTTATTTTAGCTCCAACTTTCTTGGGGATTCTTGTTTCTCAAAGAATGAAAGCGGGAGTCGATTGGAAATTGGCTTTTATTTATGCAGACGTGCTTCTTCGCAAGAAGTATAAGCTTATTCAAGCAGCTTATGCATTTGCATGATTCTTGCAGCTCCGAATAAAAGTTTCCTCCTTTGGCTAATTTTAAATCCCAACAAAGTGATAAAATTTATTTATTATTTATATAGGATGCTTTGTGGATAATACATGACTATTTGTTTTCATAGAATAGGATTTCACCTAATTTTTTGGGGTCAGTTTGTGATGATGTAAATGAAAGGAAAACAATGACCAAGTATATTTTGACTAAGAAATGCATTTCTTTCTTACCTCTTCCTTATTTTTGCGTTCATCCCAATACCTTCCATCCTATCTAAGTGTGGTACTTGTAGAGAGCCAGTGTTGTGAAGAGTGTGAAACGAGGAAAAGCGACAATTTCGCTTAAAGCGAGAAGCGAAGAGCTCGCTTTTTTGAAGTGAAGCGGAATTTAAAAAAATATTAAAATAAATACTGCATAGACAACACATGTAACTGTAGGGCACCGTTTGACCATGAGTTTTGCCAAAATAAATTTGGGATTTATTTTCAAAACTCATGTTTGGCCATAAATTTTGCCCATATTTTGGCCAAATCCCAAATCTCAAATCCCAAACTCAGCTATTGAGCTGATTTTGGGCCAAAATCCCAAAACTTGGGAATTATATACATGTTTTTCCAAAATAAAGTTGGAAAATATGTTTTGAAAACGTATGTTCAAACACATTTTCATCTTCAAACCAAACTTCACCCAAATTAGATTTTTCAAAATAAATTTGGGATCTATGGCCAAACGCTAGCTAAGCAAATGTTTAATACTTCAATGTAAAAACTGAAGAGTAGCATCAATTAAAGCACAAAATGAGCATCCTATTCTTCTACAACAGTGCAACAAAATTAAGAAGAAGAATAAGAAGAGGAGAAGAATAAGAAAGAACTGAAGGGAAAAAAAATATTTCGCCAGCATTTTGCTGCTATTTGGACGCTGAACAGTGAAAGAAGGAGGAGGAGGATTAAATACGTTGGTAGCCCAGTTATAAAGCGCTCGCTTCTTACGCTTCGCATCATTTCATCGCTTTTGTAAATCTGCTATGCTTCAGCTAAGAGAAGCGCCAGATACCTCGCCTCGCTTCGCTTCTCGCTTAAGCGAGGAAGCGCTCGCTTTTTACAACCCTGTAAAGAGCTGCTTTTGGATTAAGATTAAGATTAAGATTTCATTTTTATAAAGATATAATAAAATGAATATGTATATTAGCCCTGTTAATGCAAATAGAGCTTTGTATTTGATGTCTCTCTCAGTTTCTTTCTCGTGCAAGTTTTCTTGTATTTTCAGCATTGCAGATTTTAATGAAAATTTGCTGCCTTTGGACTCAAGGCTCCTCCTTAGTATCCTAGCCCCCTTTCAGGTCAAGCGACTTTTTACTTTAAAAATTAATTTAGACTTCGTAATTTTTTGGGTTCATAGCTAGGTTAAAGTTATGGAGGAATTAGTCAACGAACTAGCTACTTCCAATTCAGTTTTGGAATCTCTGTGTTGGGAAGTTTCCGTCTTTTTGTAATAGCAACATGATGCTTCAGTTTGAAAAGGTTTTCTGGCCACACTACCCTTATATTGCATTGAATTCCTTGGTGCCAAACGTGCAAATTTTGTTCTTTATATGATTGTGTAATAAAAAAAATTTGGGTGTCGTCATTGTGTCATTAGGTGTGTGGCTTTAGAGTTCTTGAATAGTTTCTATAAGTTGTCTGTTGCTTCTTTTCTTGTAATGTTGTGTTTGTGGCGAGAAAGCCTTTGATGCCATTATTAACGGGTTTTCAGTGCGTTGTTGACTTAATAGAGAGCCCAGCCGTTACTCTCTGATACTCGTGATTTTATGATACTCATGATTTTGTGATAAGGAAAAAGTTGGAGCACAAGCACCCTTGGGTAACAGTCCCTTTTCCTATCTGCACCTAGTGTAGTCGTTCTTTCTTCTGTATTTTTGCTTCCTTAGTCCGTTCTCATCTATAATATATTCCTTTATCCTAATTCAAGTGATGTTCTATGCTTCATGCTGTGAACTTTTTGATAATAAAGCTGTTAAGTAGTTAGTCATGTATAGTGTCCCACATCGGGAAGTAGATACCTATTATTATGTAATCACCCTATATAAATAGGGCGTTGTACAACACTTTAGATAAAGATAATCAATAATATTTTCTCCCGTGCTTTTCCACAAAAGCCTTGATAGATCTTTGTAGAACCTTTTGGCTTTGGATTTTCATTTGTTTAACAAGAGAAGTTGTCATTCTCATCCATTCTAAATTTTATTGGTATAGCAAGAGAAGGCATCCTAAATTGGGGATTTTCTTCATGGTTATTTGGGGGGGGGGG